ACCTGAAACCAGGCTAGCTAAAAGGCAGACTGTCCGAGATAAAATATGGCTTTATGTGAAAGAATATTTAGCGTCCCTTATCTCTTCTGTCGGAACTGCGTGGCTACTTAGCTTACAAAGAACCTGAAGCCAGGCTAGCTAAAAGGCATACTGTCCGAGATAAGGGTGTTTATTGCAAAAAATGTTTTTTTTTTGTGATTTTTTTATTTTTATCTGTTGTTTGGTTATGCTATGCAATCAAATGCAACAAACAAATGCACACACAATTCGATCATCCGCGAACATGCGATAATTCGTTTTTATCACGAGGTAGGGTTTTCCTGCAGAAAAGTGCATTGGCGAGGGTAGGTTCTAACTGTTCTCACCAAGCTAAGGCCCCCAAGGTGCCCCCATTATAGGGTCCCCACTCTCCAGCCTTCCGACCATGCTTAGCACTAAGGCCGTAGTCAGTCTTTGTGCCAAAAGAGGAAGGTTATCACCTTGAGTGGTGGTTTCCGATCACACTGGTGGGCTCAAGGCCCTCACTACAGCGAATCGTACCTGTCACCCACTCCCTATGGATTTCTCACTTGCCCCCGGGTATAGAGGGAACTGTAGTGTGCAAGGGTCTGTGTACAGTTTGTATTTCAAACAATTGCGTAAGTATAAACAAACAACAGTTATTTAAAGTCAAACCGTAAAACATGTTATAATACAAGGTAAGGGCAAAAGCGTTATTTTCTTGGTTTATTTATTTTTAAGCCGGCCCATCACTAAATGGGATCAACTCTCGAGGCTTCCCCAGTGGAGTCGCCATCTGTCGCCGCCGTAAAAAAGAGAGGCGGTCGGAGCGACGCGATGGTTTCGACCCTCTTGTTTTCGCGTTTTTTGTTGGTGGTTACAACGCCTTTAGGTTGTCCGATAACTGGGCTGAACCTAGGGGCGAGGTTTTTGAAAAGGCTCTCTTGGATTGTCCGATAACTGGGCTAATCCAAAAACTAGTTTTGAAAGGGTTCTGTAGAGTCGCCACCGATGTTTTTACCGGAAACATCGGAAAAGGGATTAAAAGGCGTTGGTTTTCAAAAAACCAACTTTGGTCGTTAGAACCAGAGTTGGGTAAGGGAGTTAGTTACGTGTAAAGGAAGTGTTAGTTCCTTTACGACGCCCCTTTCGGGTTCCCTATGACAGGCCAACTATTTTATTGATAAATAAACCGGAAAATACGCTTTTACCCTTTTATTTGAGGAATTAAAATATTATGACTACATGACCCTATCTATTGCGTAATTTAAATAAAGCGGTAGAAAGGTGAGGGAGAGAGTTGAAACCTTCGAAGCAAGCTTTCTATTTTATTTCTCAATAAATTGGGTGCGTTTTGGCAGCCCTTCACTCTACACAGCGTCAAAAGTCTCTCAAACGCTCAAGAACACTCTAAGAAACGCTCAGAAACTCCGGAAATGCTTCGGAGGGGTTCTAGAGAGAGAAATTCTAGAGAGAAGGAGGAGAGAACTCTGTGTGGTGTGTGGAAATGAGGGGGGGAGAGCCCCTATTTATAGGTTTTCGCGCCTGACAGTGGCGAGACCGCCGTTCTCGTCTGACAGCATCGAGATTGCCGTCTCGCCAAACGAGACCGCCGTCTCGTCATGCCAAAGTGGCGAGACCGTCGTCTCGTCATTCGCAGGTGGCGAGACCGCCGTCTCGTTTGGTGAGACGGCGGTCTCGCTATTTGCGTGAGGCGAGACGGCGGTCTCGTCCCAAAAAGGCGAGAAAACTTATTTTTTGTGCAGAAAATCCCTCCTATCCTAGTATGGGGCCTAATTGTCTCTCCTAGTGGCTTTTTAGGCTTCATCCATCTTCGAATAGGAGGGCTTCTTCTCTTTATTTGGAGGCCGGGCAAGATTTGGGGTCTACACTCATCATGAAACCTGGCAATCTATGGAAGACATGCTATCTGATATGAATCAGAGGATGCAGGCATTCTTCACTCTTTCTGGAGTACGGCATGAGGAAATAATTCGCCGTATATCTGATGTAGATGATAAAGTGTGCCATTTAGAAAATAGATTTGATGCACACTTTCATAGTGATGATAGTGAAGAATTTTAAATTTGTTTTTATTGTTCTTTTAATTTGTAATGTATTTTTTTTTTTTTGAAAAAAAATGTGGTGTTCTTTTAATGCTTTGATTGAGGGGGAGTTATCTCCAAGTTATGCATATTTTGAGGGGGAGCTCTTATGATTGTTATTGCAGAATTCTTTTTTATTATAATCAAAATAGGGGGAGAAATATTTAAAGCCTACTATGATTGATTTTAAATATTATCTGGTATGTTTAATGTGTTTGTTAGTATAACAGATAAAACAGGTTATTACAAGGCTTTAAAAGAAAATTTTGATCATCATCAAAAAGGGGGAGATTGTTGAACATTCAAGGACTTGATGTTGAACGTACATGGACATGAAGCTTGTTGATTTTGATGATGATTCAAGAACACAAGACTTAAAGAGTTGAAGACTTGTTTTTCTGTGTAATAACTCTGTTTTGATTAGATTGAGTCTGTAATATTAGAGTTTGAGATAGTTGGTACATAGTCTACACCTTAGAAGCTTCAAAAAGCTCAATTTTATCAAAGTGCCTCGGCTTTAATCGATTAAATGGTGAAATAATCGATTAAAACAGTGAGAAAAACCATTTTCTATATCTGCTCACTGGTTTAATCGATTAACACACCTGTTAATCAATTAACAAGCCTGTTAATCGATTAACAGGTCTTTTAATCAATTAAAACTGAGAGTTTTGGGATTCTGTTGATTTTGGCTCTGTAATAATCGATTAACACTTCATTTAATCGATTATTACAGAGCCAAAATCAACAAAACCCCAAAATTCTCTATTTTAATCGATTAAAAGACCTGTTAATCGATTAACAGGCTTGTTAATCGATTAACAGATGTGTTAATCGATTAAACCAGTGAGCAGATACAGAAAATGGTTTTTCTCACTGTTTTAATTGATTATTTCACCATTTAATCGATTAAAGCCGAGGCACTTTGATAAAATTGAGCTTTTTGAAGCTTCTAAGGTGCAGACTATGTACCGGCTATCTCAAACTCTAATATTACAGACTCAATCTAATTAAACACAGAGTTATTACACAGAAAAACAAGTCTTCAACTCTTTAAGTCTTGTGTTCTTGAATCATCATCAAAATCAACAAGCTTCATGTCCATGTACGTTCAACATCAAGTCCTTGAATGTTCAACACATTAGGCATGTTGGAAAGTTGTGAACATTCATGTGTAGCATGTTGAGTTGAAGTACAAATCCCACATACAACACCAACAAATGGAAAGTTATGTTGCATAGGTGCTTGTGTGTGTGCAACAATTTGAATTTGTTATTGATTCTATGTCAGTTGCTTCACCATTGATGCAAGGTTGTCAAGTTTATTCTACAACTGTTGGTGCTCCATTGAATACCCTATTTGCACCTCATACACACTTCTCACAATTGTGTTGCCTCTAGTTGAAAACTATTTAGAGTTAGTGGTTCTGTTTCAATCAGCTGCCTTGCCACTATGGGAGTTTTGTTGACAAGTGCTTCATCACTTGTTGCATCAATCATCATGCTTTTATTCATAATGGTAAGTTCTTCATAGAAGTTGATAAGCCCCTAGTTGTCCCAAAGGCGGGAGAGGTCATCCTTAGAAGGATCATTAGGAGCATGACTAGAAGGGGGAGGCCTCCTCTCACCCTCCATTTTGAATTTTCTAAGCATTTTTATTTCTTAAATTTTAGAGAGACTCATTTTCGTACTTTTTTTTTTGTAAGACCACTTTTTTGCACCTCCTTTTTAAATATCATCACCTCTTTTTGGTGGAAAAGAAGGTTTGGACATATACGATGATTGCATGGGGTTGCCTAAAGGTGTAGGACCGATGGCGGATCTTCTTGGGAGCTGAGGGGGTCGTGGCACCCCCACGGCTTTGTAACTCCCATGTAATTTATGATTTTGGCCCCCCAAAACATAATGAATATTTAATATATTTACTTGTATATTTACAATTTTATCCTCTCAGCCCCTCCTCGGTTTTGTAACTCTCATATAATTTATGATTTTGTTCTCCTCAAACTTAATGATCATTAATATATTTAAGTATATATCTAGAATTTTATCTTTTCACCCTTTCATCTTCTTTATTCCTTTTATATTTATTTATTATTTATTAATAATATATTATTTGGCCCCCCAAAATCAATGGTCAAGATCCGCCACTGTGTAGGACACTCCTTTTTCATGTCCTACACCCCTTTTTGGAGAGGAAGAAGCTTGGGATGCGGGATTGGTAGGCATGGGACAACCCAAAAGGACGCACACCATTTTTCATGTCTTTCACACCCTTAGAGAAATTTTTGGTGCACTAGGACGAATTTAATATATTTAAACCATGGGACTCTTAGCTTTTAGGTTTAGTTTATGTCTTCTTTTCTAATTTTATCTAGGTTCCTTCACCCAAAAACCTATAAATAGAAGATTTCTCCTCATGTAATTAGGTTGAACATTTATGATAAGTGTGTGAAGTTTTTTAGAGTATTTCATATCTTTGATTATCTTATCTTAAACCTTGATTCAAATGGCAACAACCACCACTTATTTAGGTGGTTCATCCCCTAGTGACGTGTCAACACTCCACCACTACCATATTTTTATTCTCTCTATCTTTTTTTCTTTATTTCTTCTCATCATAGATTTTTTTTTAATTTTATTATTCAACTTAATAGATTTTTTATACTAGTAACAATAAACATAGAAAATTTACTCATGTTAATTATTTACCTGAGACATGAAATGCTGTCAAGTTTCTAAAACAGGAAATGACAATCATTGACCTACAACAAAATATTATGAGCAAATACATTTTCCAATCTAGTTGGAAAAAAAACTATAATTAATTAAAAGGTTTTAAATATAAAAATAAAAATCAAAGCGTATGTCCATAGTCTTTAGTTGAATACAACTTTCATAAACGGTAGATTACCAAGAAGCAAGGGAGAACAGCTCTAGGATTTAAAACAATGAGTTCTTCAATCTCTGAGTGGTCTCTCATTTTCTTCACCAAAGAATCAAACCCAGGATTGGTCATTTCTTCAATCTCTTGTAGAGGATTATAGATTCTCCCAGCTCTTACTCTGCAGAGCATTACACACTTTCTCTGGACAGATTTAATATTGGATGAGGAAATTGAATGGATGGCTTTTCCACTGGTAGAAGTGGTGTAAACTCCAAGGGCACCATGAAATAATTCTTGGTTGGAGGAAAAACCATGCTTCAGAATTTGACACACACCACATTGGTCTAAAGTGCAAAGGTTAGAAGAAGAGGCATTTAAACCAAGGGAGCATGCCACTGTTGTGCCATGAAATCTCAATAGCTCATTTCCATCAACCAAGCATCTGGGGTGCTCGTTTTGTACCCTTTCTGCTTTCACCCTTACCAATTCCCTGCATTCCTCAAACCATCTAAACCTTTCTTGATTGCTCTGGACTCTTAACACACATTCAATATCTGCTGCCTTGCTTTCCGTAAAGTTATTACCTTGGCATATTTGTTCGATGATCTTGCAAGCTGAACCCTCTCTCTCAAGCTGGATCACTGAACAAAAATGTAGAGCTTCATATTAAATTTTAGTATAAGTATACTTCTTTGCAGAGAACTTATTATTATATTTGTAATTTAATGTTGCACAATTTTTTGTAATTACAAGAAAAAGATAGGTAAAATAAAAATTGTAAAAATTAATGTAGGAAGATTTTTTTTTCTCAAATTCAAACTATAAATTAAACAATATTATGAAAGCTTTCTATGTGAATATTATTACTCATTTGAAAACTAAATATATGGCCTCAAGTAGACGCAGCACTAGCAAAACATAAGTGGCATTTATTATTGATATAACTATAATATATATATATATATATATATATATATATATATATATATATATATATATATATATATATATATATATATATATATATATATATATATATATATATATATAAGTTTGACTTATTTATTTAAATAAGTTTATTTTGAACTGTAAGTTTTACTTGTTAAAAACTTGAAGCTCGAATTTTAAATTGGTTTATTTATGTTAATTATTTTACTTTTAATTCTTTAATTATTTTTCAAATTTATCAATATAAAATTTAATATTTTATTTTAATACCAGGTATTAACACGTGAAATTCATTTTTTTAGAATATTACATTTTACATAATTTATCAAATAAAAATAAAACCATAACTTAATAACAATAAAATAAAATAATTGTAAATCAGTTAGAGATAAATAAATTTAAAGTTATTGAAAAATAAAGTATAGTTCCAAATTTAATTTTTTAATTAAATAAGATAAATAACTAATTAATTGAATCAAAATAAGTTAAATATGTTTTTACACTTTTATTTTAAAAAATATATTAATTAGTCCTTCAATTTATAAATATAACTATTGTAATTTTTTCAATACTTCAAATTAATATTTAACGATAATATTTTACTTACATTTAATATTCAATAATAAATTTTATTTTTATAAAATTTTAATTAAATTTAAATTTTTTATTATATCTGGATTAATTTATTAATTTTTAAGTATAAAAAAATAAAATCAATAAAAAAATTATAAAGAACAAAATTATATTTAATCCAATCAAAATATTTGATACTTTTAGTTTAATTTATATATATATATATATATATATATATATATATATATAATATAATATAATATAATATAATAGTTATAGATGTTAAAATCAACCAATCCAAAAATAAAATAAAAATGATAAAAAAATAAAAAATCAGATCAAAATCAAATTGTTTTTTACTTGAAAAATTTAAAACCAATCGGTCTTATTTTCAATTTAACACTCATTAACTAACTTAAATTGTATTAAATTAAAATTATAATATGTATTGTTAAAATAAAAATATAAAATTACAATTATTATGAATACAAGTTAATTTTTTATAATTTAAGATATTTATTGCTATTTTTAAATTAAATGTAAAAACATATGAAAATAAACTAATATTATAAATATCATAATTAATCATGATTTTTTAATATATTTTTTTATTGAATTATTATTTATTATAATATATTTAACAATTTTATAATAAAAATATATAATTATTTAAATTAAATTATAAAAGAAATAAATTAAACCCGTACCCTATCAGAACAGAGTTTAAGAGATGGAGAAGCGTTTACTTTTGTGAATCATAATTTTTATTTTTATTTTCTTTTGTCAATCATATGGAAAAAACCTAAACATTGCAGTCAGAGAATATTCAACCGGTGTTAAAGTTACAAAAATCACCGAACGTTCTTCCAAATGTTCCAAGATTCACATAAGTAATTTGTCATACTATAGTGTTAATGGTTCAATGGTAATTGGTCAAATTTAATTCCTCCAATATATATGGTATAGTGAAATTATGCACAGAACATTGTTCAACAAGAAAAATTAGTGATCTGACCTGAATGTTGAGGGACATTTTCATGTTCTTCAGCAGTCTCAATAGATTTTGTTGTCTCACGTTCATTATGACGTGATAATACTGGGGGATGATTAGAATCTTTCTCCAGTGACCACTTTTTCTTTGAGAAAACATTACATTCATCACAATCAACACAAACTGTCTTTGATGAAGGTATAGTTGGCTTGGTTGATCTCGAAGGATGAGGGTCTTCTACACCATTTCCATCTTCATCGCCTTGAGAACTAGGATAGCATGGACAAATCTTAATCTCACCACTTGACCTATCAAGGAAAATTTCATGGCTAACTTGGTTTTCTGACTGTCTCTTATTTCTCTCATCTCTGACATTCTTGCAATGTGTTTTTCTCTGAGCACTTCTACTTGCCTGCGGATCATGAACTTCTGGTGAATGAGATTTGCAATGAAGTGATTTCTTCAGAAGATGCCATACCTCTGACATTCTCTTCGATGTTTTCTTCGTGACATGTGAAATCTATTCAAATTGCTGAGGTAAGTAAACATTCAAGGATAACCCCAATCGTTTTCTTTTTTTAATTACGTAGTATCGACAAGATTGTTTTCTTTGTTCAAAGCATTTCACAAATGGGAAGAAATTTATGGCGTGCAAATTTTATTAAATGTGCTAGCTTTATCAGAAATATACAAATAACTTCAACCTTCTCATTTATTTATTATTTAAACCGAAGAGATTTTTCCTTATTTGTAAAAACTTATTTTCTATATAAATATTTTAATTAGGAATAAATAATTTTTATGATTATTGAAAAATTATAACTAATTTATATTTTCTATTATAAGTAATGTTATTAATATCATACCCATGAGTTGATGTGTCCCTATCCTAAATTTGATGGAAAAAATTAAATTGATTGGAAGTGAGGATGAAAAAGAAAACAGGCTCAGATTTGTTCTGCTTTAAAAAGTTAGGACGGGGATGAAGGCGGAAAGGAGTTCGGATTTTTTCCGCTTTAAAAATTCAACAGGTTAAGGATGAGTAATGTAATTCATATCCTAACCCCGTCGTCCTCGCTTTGACACCGTCTTTCTCCTAATTTTATATTTAAATTTAAATCCTAAAATATTAATATTTTAAAAATATTTCTTTTTCTTTCTCATATTATATATAAAGACATTTTTTCATATTTCATCATTTTTACTTTTTACTCTTTTGTCTTTTTCAATATTTAGGATTAATCAGTTCATTAGATGATTTTTTTCTTTTATCTTCTACTTCTTCACTTTTTTAATCTCTTCAATCAATTTGATATTTTCAATCTCTTTAACCAATTTTGAGAAATATAAAGTTAATTGTTCATCTTTTTTTCTTTTCTAAATATTTTATTTCAATCTTAATAGTAGCTGATATTATTTTATTTTTAATTTATTTTTATTAGGTTTTATTATATTATATTTTTTAATTTTATTATTCCTATTTATTATATATCATATTTTATCTTAATAAAATAATTATATTTTAAAGAATTAACAATAATTAATAATTAAAACTTTTATTACTTTGAACTAATTAAATAAGAATTAACTTATTAAATATTTTCTTATAAATTATATATTTAATATTTATGAATATTTTAAAATGATAACTTAAAAAATAATTAACTTATATATATATATATATATATATATATATATAATAATAATAATAAAATATTTGAATATAGTGATATAATAATAATAATAATAATAATAATAATAATAATAATAATAATAAGTACTCTATATTTGTATAAAAAATATTAAATATTTCTTTTACATCCATATTTAATATAAATATAATAAATTTAAATATATACTTAATTAATAATAATAATTAAAAATTCTAAAATTCTAAATATTTATTATTTTATAAAAAATACATTTATTATAAATATAATTATTTTTTTAGAAATAATGTAAAACGAGGATGTGTCGGGGACGCAAAAAGCTAAAACTAAACAGGGGTAGAGATGTAGACTTAATTTCTAACCCCGACGGGAAATGAGGTTAGGGACGGTGAAAAAAGCCAAGGGGAGGATCGAGGAGACAAACATGTCACTACCTTGCTTCATCCCATTGTGATGCCTATATATCATGTTTTAATATAGGTATTTATAATTTATTTTATCTATCTTATTTAATTTTGAATTGTGATTAAGCTATTTGTTATAAAAAATGTTTAGGAAAATTTCATAGGTATATCATCAAAATCAAAGTTAAATTTTAAATATACCTTCTTATAAAAATTATCAAAGGATAAGGATGAGAAAATAGATTTTGCATAACAGTTCGCTAACTCACTTTAAAATTGACCGAATGGATTGTTAATTTAGTTTATTATTCCGTTTTGACCTGTTCGTCTAACCCACCAACCCGACAGGTCAAAAGTAGATTTATAAGCTTTTACAAATTATTTATATATTTAAATTAAAATAAAAAATATTATATTTATTTCTATGTTAATAAAATATGTAAATATATTATAATATTATAATTTAAATTATAAATATTAATCAATTAAGCTTAAATTACTTATCATAATGAGAAATTTTAACACAACTATAATATTTTTTTAAGTTATCTAATAAAAATATTAATTAATAAATAAATATTTAAAAATTATTTATACAATTAAAGGTATATTTAAAAAAATACATAAAAAATTATATAAAATAAAACATTGGCAAACTGACTTGTTAACCCATTAATTCACCCTTTGACAAGGTGAATTAAGATTTGCAATATATCCTTATTATAGCAAAACATCCTCTCACATCTCACGGTTAAAGATGAGACGAAATAAAACGCGACAAACAAAATAAAACGAGACAAATTTATCAATACTAAATTTCGTCTAAATATTTAAAATATTGATTAATTTAAAATAAAAACAGGATGTTTATTTAATTTTAGAAAATAAAAGAAATGATAGTTTACTTTTAAATATTTTATTATTAATAAAATAAAAAATATTCTTCCTCTCCCACCTCTCATTTTCTCTACACAATGAACAATAAAAGGAGACGAGAGACAAAAAAGAAGAATGATAAAACAATGGAGTTTCACATATTTTGAGGAGTTTTTTTTATATTTTATTATTTTTCTTTATTTCCCCTCCCGCCCCCGCGTCCACCGAGCCACTTTGATTCATCTGCCCTCTTCCCTCACTCTCATCTTCTTCCCACATCTCAGCTCACGCCTTCACCGCGAACCACCATACCTTGCCTTCGACCCTCAGCACCAAACACCAGCAGCCATCGTCGTGGCCCAATTCCTTCATGTCTCCTCACCTTCACTCAAGCCTTTATTCTCGGCTATCACCGCGCTGTCCACGAGCCATTCTTCTTAGCACTCCACCGCGTCGCCCTCACTTTCCCTCAGCCTTAGCCCACCGTGAGCCACCACCAGCAACACACCACATTCTCTCTTCTCCCCCTAGCCCTAGACGTATGGTCACAACTAATGGAGATGCATATTACAAAGAGGGAAAAATTGTCCTACATCCGTGGGAAGGTGAAGCCTCCAACAGAGAAATATGAGGGATATGAAAAATGGTATACTGAAAACCAAAAAGTGAAAAGATGGCTACTGATGTCCATGAAGCCAGAAATCATGAAAAGGTATCCTCGCTTACCCACTGCCCTCGATATTTGGAATGCTTTGTCAAAGGCGTTTTATGATGGAAGTGATGAACTACAAGTGTTTGCTCTGAATCAAAGGGAATTCACTGCAAAACAAAATAATAGAACCTTAACTAAATATTATGGGGAGTTGGTTGAGATTTTTAGGGAATTGGACCATCGTGACAAAGTAGTCATGAAGGACCCTAATGATGTGAAGTCATATAAGAAGTCCATTGAAAGATTAAGGGTGCATATATTCCTTGCTGAACTAGATGATGATTTTGAGCAAGTTCGTGGAGAAATCTTGCGCAAGGAAGTGACACCTGATTTAGAAGAATGTTATGCATTGATCCGGAGAGAGACAGTTCGGCGAACAACGTTGAAAACAGAAGATATGATTTCTGATTCCACAACTATGATGACAAAGAAGCAGCCAGAAAATCATTACAACAAATGGAACCGAGTGTACTCAGTGTACTCAGTGTAATAAGGATGGACACACCAAGGAATGATGCTATGAAATCATAGGATACCCCGAGTGGTGGGATCACAGTCGAGCATCGAAGAAGAATTCAAAAAGAAATCCAACTACTGCTGCTGTAACTACCATTGACAAAGAGGACGACAAATGCATGATACTTGCTACAATCGCAGGTAGTGATGATTCCAATGGTAAGACTTTAATAAGCACATCTACCATTTTGAATAATGCATGGATAATTGACTTTGTGTGTTCTAATCATGTGACTTTTGATGTTAGGCAGATTAAAAATCTTAAACCTTCCTCACAAAAAGTATTTCCACAGCCAATGGTAGTAAATCCATTATCATTGGAGAAGGAACTATCTCTATTTCAAACAATTTGAACCTTGATATTGTCCTTGTTATTCCTTCTCTTAAATATAACCTATTGCCAGTCTCGTAAATAACCAAAGCTCTTTTATATGTTGTAATTTTTTGGTCTGGCTCTTGTGTTTTTAAGGACATTCAAACGAGAAAGATGATTGGTTGTGGTATTAGGTGAGGAAGGTTGTATTACCTGGACCTGACAAAAAAATATTCAAAGAGACTTGGTCAAGTGCTAGCAATAAAAGAGTCTCAAGAAGTAAGAAAAGGTGAGAATATTTGGTTGTGGCATAAGCGTCTAGGACATGCATCTTTTGGTTACATAAAGAAATTATTTCCAAATGTATTTGACCAAGTAGACACTTCAACTTTTTATTGTGATGTTTGTGAGCTTGCAAAGAGTCACAGAACATATTTTCCTTTAATTTCAAATAAAAGTTCTTTTCCTTTTATGATCATTTACTCTGATGTATGGGGTTAATCTAAGGTTGCAATGTTGGGTGGCTCAACGTGGTTTATAACGTTTATTGATGATTGTACTCGAATGACTTGGTTATGTTTGATGAAGTCTAAAAGTGAAGTTGGAGGACTATTTCAGAAATTCTGCAAAATGATTGAGATCCAATACAAAGCACAAGTTCAAGTATTGTGCAGTGACAACGGAGGCGAATATGTGCAATTAGAACTTCAACATTTTTTAGTAGCCAAAGGAATTGTTCATCAGAGATCTTGTCCAAATACTCCACAACAAAATGGGGTGACAGAACGAAAGAACCGTCATTTATTGGAGGTGGTTCGAGCTGCACTGAATGGAGCTCACATGGCAACAATATATTGGGGAGAAGCTCTTACATATGTAGTATACACTATCAACTGAACACCGTCTAGGTCTCTTTAGTATAAAACACCTTTTCAATCACTTACAGATGCAGTAGTAAGTCCTAAAATTGCTGAACTAACACATAGAGTTATTGGTTGTGTTGCTTATGTTCACTTACACAAGCATCAGAGAAGTAAGTTGTCTCCTAGAGCTGAAAGGTGTGTGTTCCTTGGCTATGCGGATCACCAGAAAGGATATCGGTGCTACAATCTACACACCAAGCAAATGTTTACTACTATAGATGTAGTTTTTCATGAAACTTTGATATATTTTCCCCCGAGTCTGAAATTCAGGGGGAGAATTATGATGAAGTTCAAACTTTTATTCCTCAAGAAATTGATATTGAGTTCAGATTGGAGAAAGAAAGTTACAAGGTTGTATTAGGAGATGATGAAAGTGTGCAACAATGTGATAATCAACAACTACATAATGAGGAAGATTTTGAGCATGTCAAGATCGAAAATTTGCCTATTGATGCTGATGATATACCACAACAATCATCCCCTCAAGAACCTAATACAGAAAAAAGAATTTTGCCAGATCATGTCACTAGAGGTATCCTTAATCCTACTTATGATCCTGACCTCACCAGTAAGACAAGATACCCTATGAGTAATTATATTTGTAACCAGAATTTGTCTAACTCAAATATCGCATTTATAAGTCAATTATCTACTGTATATATTCCTAACAGTGTGTAGGAAGCTTTAGCTGACTCCAGGTGGAAGGATGCTATGAATGATGAGATGAGATCCTTGCAAAGAAATAAAATATGGGAATTGGTAGATTGTCCAGTTGGAAAGAAACCAGTAGGATGTCGATGGGTGTACTGTGAAATTTAATGCAGATGACACAATTGAGAGATTTAAAGCTAAATTAGTGGCAAAGGGGTACACACAAGCATATGGAATAGATTACACTGAAATGTTTGCTCCCGTAGCCAAAATTAGTATAGTTCAAGTATTGTTATCTCTAGTTGTAAACCTTGATTGGTCCTTACAAAAATTTGACGTAAAAAATTCCTTCTTACACGGGGAATTGTCTGAAGAAGTTTATATGGAGCTACTAGAAGGATGTGGGATCCCGAATACACATAGCAAGAAGGTATGCAAGTTGAAGAAGTCATTGTATGGACTAAAACAATCACCACGAGCATGGTTTGGTAGATTCACCAAGTCAATGCTTGCTTTTGGATATCAACAGAGCAACCAAGATCATACCTTGTTTCTAAAGAAAAAGGAAGGAAAGATTACAATTCTTATTGTCTATGTTGATGACATGATAGTTACGGGAAATGATATAGAGAAATGCAAGGCATTAAAAGAGTACTTGGCAAAGGAATTCAAGATGAAGGATCTTGGTCCTTTGAAGTATTTTCTTGGAATTGAGGTCTCAAGATCAAAGTCAACTATTTTTATCTCACAACGAAAGTATGCATTGGATTTACTAAAAGAAACTAGAATGACAGCATGCAAACCAACAAATTCTCCAATTGAAGGGAGATTGAAGTTGTGCATTGAAGAAGATCAAACTCCAACTAATAAGGGAAGATATCAAAGACTTGTACGGAGATTGATGTTTCTCTCACACATCATGCAAGATTTAGATTATGCTCTTAGTGTGGTTAGCCAGTTCATGCACAATCTAGGTGAAAAACACATGGATGTTGTTATACAGATTTTAAGGTACATAAAAGTTGCTCCTAGAAAAGGAGTTATGTTCAAGAAGAACTCCAACTACAAGGATGTGATGGTTTATACTGATGCAGATTGGGCAGGTGATCTTGATGATACAAGATCAACCTCTGGATACTTACTTGTAGAGGTAATCTTGTCACATGGAAAAGCAAGAAGCAGAAAGTTGTAGCTAGATCTAGTGCAGAAGCTGAACTTAGAGGAATGATCATTAGACTTTGTGAAGGTTTATGGCTCAGACTACTTCTCCAGGATTTAGGGTATGCACATACACATCTCATTCAGTTGTATTGTGATAACAAAGTTACGTGCGACATTGCTCATAACCCTGTCCAACATGATCGGATGAAGCATGTGGAGGTTGATGGATTTTTCATCAAGGAAAAGCTTGATAAAAATATTCTGGAATTGTCAAATATTTGATCTGAAGATCAACTAGCAGACATTCTTACCAAATTTGTGACAAGTCAAATTTTTAGGAGATTATTGGACAAGTTGGGAATGTATGACATCCATTTACCAACTTGAGGGGGAGTGTTAGGATACAGATATTTGATAAGCTAAATTATAGGTTTGTATAGCGGTACAAAATATTGTATAATCAGAACATCCTTTATTTATTCCTGATTTGTTGGAGTAAAATACTATAAGATCATAGTATCTGTGTACAAAAATAATATGAATAAAATTATAGAATGAATTCTATGTTTTTCAATTGGTTGCACCATCAGCCACCAAAGCCACAAAAAATCGAGCCACACCCCCACCCATCCTAACCGCACCCGAACCATCTTCGAATCATAATAAACCTACCCTCATTCTCCTTTTCGCTGTCATGAGCTATCAACCTCTTAGTATTTCAGGGAGCTATCAACCTCTTAGTATTTTAGAAGGACATGAAAGATAGTTTATGTTTAGTAGTGAGTTTTATCTCGAAAATAATGTTTAGATAAAGGTGGACAAATAAGAGAAGGTTTGTATGAGAAGAGATAGTAATTGATCTTGGAAGTGTTACAAGATATGTAAGAGTTTATATTAGTTTTTCACACTCATTACATAAGTGGTATTGTCTATTTATAGGTTTGATCCATCACTTCCTAAATATTCTAGATAATTCTAGATTTTCTTAATTCTAGAATTATATATTTTCTACTTTCAAACATTTCAAGAATCTTTTAAGAATTTTAGATATTACTCATATGAAGTTCTTAATTCTAGTAGTATTTAGAATTTTATTTTCTAGATCTTTCTAGAATTTGCATCATCTTTCAACACTCCTCCTTGATGCAAATTCCTATAACTCCAA